CCAGGACAATATAAAACGGAAAATGCCACATTGGTTTTTTAGCCCTCGTCTGGGCTTTTGTTCTATTTGCCGTTGATCCTTATCTAATTTATGCAAATTCCATATCACTTTAATGGCAGAACCAGCGGCGATTCGAGCACGATTTGCGGCGACTAATTTGTTTAATTGTAATTAGCCGTAATTGGTTTATGTTAATTGCCTCACCTCACACAGTCTTCAATTGCGGATGGAGTACGTCCCTTGGCCAGATGTTGCTTTTGCTGCTGCTGCTGCTGCTGCTTTCGGCCGAGTTGCATAAATGTTTGACTTTAACGGCTAAAAGGCGCGCACACGTACGTAGAAATATAGAAATTGGATGGCAACAATTGCATTAATGGGCTTTAGTTGCCGAAAACGCACACAGCGAGCCGCAAACTTGACTGCAAACTTGTTCGAAAAAAGTCAAATGGTCAAGCGAAGGCCCAGCGGAGTTGATTAAAATGTTGTAAAAGTCTCTCGGTTTTAACTCGCTTTTTTAGTTGTTTAGTGTTTTTTTTTTTTTGCTTTTTTTGTTTTTGTTTTTCTCGCGGGATAAACGGCAGAAGCCAGTCAAATATTGCAGCAGCTAGCCAGAAGAAGATGCGCAAAGCGCACGCCAAAATCCGACTTATGCAATTTCTTTTTGTTTATTTCCAATTTCTGCCTGGGCACCTCTTCGCTTTTGTTTCTATCCCCACTTTCCTCCGCTATTGTTTTCGAATGCACAATTACGTTTTACACACACGTTTCTCGCTGCTTTGCGCTGCTCTTGCGGTTTCTGCACTCTTTGTGCTTCTGCCGCGAAATTGTGTCAGAATAGCAAAAGACTGGAGTGTTTTCTTATCTTCGGCCCCCAGTCTCTTCAGCCCTTTCAGCTCCAGTGTCGCATGGAGGAAGAGTCGCTGCGGCAAGCTACGGCAACCCGCCGACAACACGCAACACGCAAAGCGCAGCAATCAACAACCAACAACCGACAACGGACAGCCGAGAACGAACAACGAGCAACGAACAACGGCCAACGGACAACCAACAACGGACAACCGACGCGAACGACTGGCTGAAAGAAACTGAGCGCTGCGAAGACAAGGCGAAGAGTTGAGTCTGCCAGACTCGGTCAGTCGGTTGCTTCTTGTTTTTGTCGGGCACATGCGGTTGTTGCCGCGATCACAACTGTATTCGGTCGGATCGCAATGGCTAGCATACTTCTGGGCTGATGCATTTAAATGGGTTGAGCCAAAATCGTCCATATCCAACTCTTTTAATTTCCTATTTGCAAAGAACACCGCTTACCGAGCTTTGTTCCATATTTGAAATAATGTTGTAATGTATGTAACGAAATGAAATAATGTAATGAATCATTCATGAAAACTTCATCTTGGAATAAATGAACATTTAAATGGAACTTTTTATCAGCTTATTGCCATTCAACCTTTTCATGCACATTGAGAGTGTCCGCACTCATCAAGAGCCGTATTATAACACTAATATAGACTTTCATTTAAAGCCTTGGCTTCCTGTCCGGCTGTTGACTTCCGTTTATGGCCAAAATGCCGCACTTCAGCCACCCAACTGGCAACTTGCCATTTTAAAGAGCGCCCGAAAGTACGCTTCGAATTAATGGCGCAACGTCTCGCCGCTTAACCGCACTCACAGGCGTGTCCATAAAAAAGGAACAGCCACAAAAGCAGCACTCGGCTATTTGGCCACTCAGTCATTTAGCCATTGACGTCACCGAATTGGGGAGACGAGAGACGAGGGGTTCGGGGCGGAGCGGCGCATTGAGTGCAGCATCCTTCGGGACGAGCCCTTCATCAAAGTGGAAGTAATAGCGCATAAAACAATAACAACCCAAATGGCGAAGGGCTCTAGTGGGGCAGGGCGAAATTCATTGCCTTGTTACCTGGGGGCAGGGCAATGATTGAAAAGTCGCATAAGCCGGGAAACGGTGCACATGCTCATGATTCAATTAGGCCGCCGAAATGTCATTGTCTTCCTTCGGCTTTGGTGACCTTTGCACACCCAACGGTCACTTGGCAAGTACTGATTTCTTAGCTCTTTTATGGCTAAAGGTCCTTTTAAAACTATTCGTCGGCTTTTCACTTTACTCGCTAATTGTTCCAGAGGACTTTAAAAATGTCAGATCCTGTAAAATATATATTGTAAATCAGCTAGAATAGTCGCTCTGGCCATGTCCATCTGTCCGTCTGTCCTTCTGTCCGTCCGAATATCTCGGCAACTAGCTAGACAACTGATATCAAGCAAGGAGATACAAGTGACGGCTAAACTTGCAGCGAAACTTTTTCGTAAGTTATTGCATTAAAGTGTTCGTAAAGGTAAAGGTATCACTAAGTATTACTTTAGAATCGCCGCCCTAGCCAGATTTGTGCCTCCAAAACCGATAGCATCACTGCAGTCGGCGATGGAATTTTGTTTGGCTGCTCCGACTCGGTCTTATGTCACCATCGTCTGCGCATGGCTTCCTTGCAGCGGGACGTTAAATATCAAATCCTATTTATTTGCCAATTTTACATTCGAGTTCACAGGCAGCCGTGACGTCAGCGCTCCCATAGGCGCCACAGCAGAAGCCAAAACTATTCACACCGACACGGCACACACACACTGCCGCCTGCAACCCAAGGCGGTGGCAAAAATGGCAAAGAAACGCATAATTTCATTACCAAAGCTTGGGGTTTGTTTTCAATGATGTCATATGGTCGCTGCGCTAGCCGGAAGTCCAAAGAGTCCTTGCTCCGCGCAGGCGCTCTCAACGGGGCGCTCTTCATCTGCTTTGCTGCCTCTCTTGGCAAAGGACATGTGACGTCACGGTTCTCTTAGGGCAGGCCCAGTGTCCTCGGACTGCTTCTGCTGCGAGTGTGTGTGCGTGTGTGCGGGTGTGGGTGTGTGGGTCAGCAGCTGTTGTTATGGACGTGTCTTTAGTGGTTCATTTGCCACGATTTTACGCCGCTCGATGCTTAATGTTTATCCTCAAAGCCCCGTTACTGGTGGGCAGGACAACGTGGTCATAGCCCGGATCAATGACCCCATGGAGCCGGGGATTGAAATATTAAATTACCAGCCGTCGTTGCTGGCTTTTTGATAACATTTTGCAGTAATTTGTGGGAATTTGTGCTCGTATTTGATTTGGCCCAAAGGCTTTCCTCCCCCCTCCGCCAACGGCCATCATATGTAATGTAAGGCAAACAGTTTGCAAATTTTCTTTGTCAATACTCCTAGCCATTTGCCGGTTGCCGTTTCCATTCCCATTTCCATTCCCATTTGCCAACCCCCATTGGCCATTAGTGCATGGGGAAAGCCATGAGGAAAGCCAAACAAACAAATTCCGAGTTAAACAAGCAAGGATATCCCCTCGAAGTCTGCAGATTCGATTGACATTGACGCAGAAGTAAAATAAATCAAAACACACACAGTATTCCTGTAAAATGTCAGCCGGTCTACAGATATTCCTCCGCCAGCAGGGAAGTTCTTCCTGTTTTTTGCGAAGTCAAAGGAAAGCCGAAAGCCAGGGCATAACCGAACGAATCGCTGCCTGCATAACAAATTTATCGCCGGAAGTGATTTTCACTGAAATCCAATCAATAAAAAATTATGCTACTGCTAAAAATAAAGGAGAGTAGGCGGAGGCAGTGTATCAGGGCTTGAGGGGTGGAGGGCTGGAGGACGCCGAGTTCCAATTTCTGGCACAGCTTGATGGCGGCTGGAAGTAGGCAACGATAAAATGGCAACGCTTTTGCATGCCCATCTCACTGAGTGCGGCTGTGTGCGTGCGTCTGTTTGTGTGTGTGTGCGAGTCAGGACTCTGGACTCCCTGTAGAAAAAGCAAGTGGCGAGATGGGGCCCAGGAGTGGCAATCTGCTGTAAAGCGCAGAAAAATTGATGCGAATTTTTATGCGTAGACGCGGAGCAAAGGAACCGGAGCAAGTCCTTTTTTTTGGCAGTACATGAGCAATTTTCGTGGCAGGTTCCGGCTTAATCTATGCTTCATATGGTTCATATTTCGCTTCACAGGGATTTTTGTGATGAAATTGGCAGGATAAGCACCGAATAACAGATTTTTCATGTCAGTTCCAGCAGTAATTGTACGATCGTATGGATTATTAAACGTTTAAAGTGTATCCCAACCAATTATTTTCATTCTTTTATATCCACTAGTTATTTTCTAAGTGGCTGCTTCTAAACTATTTTATTTTAGCCTAGTTATCTATATTTGGCACATTAACTTCTCTAGCAATTTAACATTTCGGAATATCCTTTCCCAACTCAAATGCTGGCCGAATGCAGCACAACTGGAAACAATTAAGCATGGCCAAGAATAAACTTTCGTAATTTAAAAACGCCGAAACTTTGTCTAAAGCCTGGGGGCTGCTTATCGAGAGAACCGGAAAAGTACACAGACATATTCAAAACTTTTCCTGTAAGCATTTATTTATTTAAATTCCCGGGGGAGTCTAAGTTATGCGCCATTCCAGGATAGCATATTTTCAGATAAATCAACAGAGAGCCCAGATGCAAAAGGCACAACAGCAACAGCAACAATAACAATAACCATAACAAAAGAACAACAGTCGGAGAGCAAAAAGTGTTAAAGTAGAGAGAAGTGTAAATAAACGAAAAGAGCAGCTAAAATCTGGAGCACAAGCACAAAGGTTATTGGTTAATTAATGGCCTGAAGTCACCAAAGCCCACGACCATTATGCACTATATATACATAAGCATATATAACACGTGCAATTGGGCAAGTGCTCCACAGTGACGTCACAAGATGCGAGAGGTGCTGATAAGAAAGTGCATTTTGAAGAGAGTCCGCTAAGAGAGTCGCTCAGCTGTTCAAGAGATTGGCGGAAAGAGCGAAGCCACTGATAACAGAAAGAACGCGGAGAGCGAGGAGGTGAGAGAGAGCGCCCATGAGCGAGCGAAAAGAGCGAGCAGCTATAAAAGAAAGCACCAGTGGCCGCAGCCCTCACTTCGTTAGTGGACGTGCCGGCGATCGCATCTGGGAAGAAGAGCTGGAGAAAGCTCGCCGAAAATTAAGAATCGGTCTTGAGTTAATCAGCAAATCCCCCGAAACAAACCATATATTTTTGTAGTAAACATAAAAACAAACAAAAAAAAAAGCTAAAAACCATAACAAACCAAATAAACTGAAAAGTGTTTTATCTTCGCCCTTCGCGAAGATATAGAGATATCCCCGGAAAACACCTTGTAAATGATTTCAAAGTGAGTGTAAACAGAAACTGTTCAACATACGCCATGTGCCGGGTATAAGCGTGAATAAATTACAATTACACGCGTCAAACTGCTCAGCAAAATATGCTAGTGAAAAGTGCCACAACAGCAAAAGGAGCCGCACTTTCCAGGTCCTCGGCTGCAGCAATAATTTGAGGGAAAGCAGGAAAAGCGAGGACAACCAGGGAAAACCCATCCAGCGAAAAGGTGAGCCCAAGTGCGTGGGTGTGAGTGCACGTGGGGTGCCCTCAAATTAACCAAAGAATGGAGTGCGTACAAGTTTCTGGCCCGGAATATGTAAATTTTCAGAGACCTTCGGTGTCGGGCTGGTCGGAAAACTCATTTCATCATGAGTCAGAGCGGAAAAGAGCAGCAGTCGGCGGGGCAAGCAAGCACTCGCCGAAAATGCCGATGGAAAGCCAGGCCACTATGATGACATAAAGAACCGGGAGCAATGTGTGTAATAAATAATGGCCGCTATTGCCGGGCCCGCGGCAGACTTAATATTTCGCGGTGCCAGTGCATCATGTTAAGCATCCCGCGGTGCAATTACCAAATGTTCCCGGGACCCCCATCCCGCAAAGTACATACGCCAGATACGCCCGTGTTCGATTATGACCCCGTTGACAGGCAAATGTTTTCCGACTCATTTCCGTGAAACCCGCGGAAGTCAGAGGGATTCCTTTGCAGATGAAACTGCTCGCAGAGAAAAAGTAAACACATGCTCTTCTCGTTTACATATGAAAATGTCAATATAACTTTTTCAGCATGCAAATTATATCAGCGTCTTGAAAGACCAAGTTTGATTCATGTTTATTTATTTTTTTCTTAAGATTGGAATTTTTATTATTATTGTTTCTGATTTTTATTTATACAAGTTTTTAAGAACATGTCTTTGCCTTGCCTCTTGATAAGCCAGGCACGCAATAATACGAATAATAATAGGGTCACTTTTCACATGTATAATAATGTATGAACTATGGCAGGAGTTCTGTTTAGTATACTATAGTACCTGAATTTTTGTTGAACATTTACCTTTAAACAATCAGTCATTAAGCAAACCGACCAAAATAATGGAAGTAATTTTTGTTTCTTGTTGTAAAAGATCCTATTCCTATTTTACATTTGCGACTATATTCACTCTGCAATAAAAAATTCTGTTTGATTATCTCTCTGAATACAACAATTATCGCGTAGCGGTCATAATTCGCGTAACGCTAGATTTTCTATTTGATTTCCCTTTTCATTAGCTTTTCACTGCTGAAAGAAAAACGGCTTTCCGATTAACGGCGCTCATCGCAGTTCGCAGAAATTTTGATTGCGTATTTTTGGCATTGTACAAAAGGGGCAGATGCCCATTCCTGCTGGATTAATGTGCTTAATCTGCTTCACTCCATGCTCGAATTCGATTTATTTCGTCCAAAGCAGTTTCGATTTATTTTAGTTTATGTGCCGGTTTAGCCGTTTCATTGCCTCTGGCCGGGTTGTTGATGGTTTCACATTTAAATAGACGTTTACCGGGAAAAGTGACGAATGGTGACTGCTTAACTTATGCCCCGCACTTCCATCGCAATTCATATAATATACATACTCGTACGTATATATCCCCGCGACCCATCAGAGCGTTAGTCGATTTCCATAATTAAAAGTGTCAAGCAATTTGCTTAACGTCCGGGAAAAGTCAGCATCAGACGGGTAACATCGGCCAACATCCGTGACGTGGAAAAAGGAGCAGACAGTTGCCAGCAGGCTGGCGGGCGACATGTCCTGCAATTTGCTCCTGATTCAATTATTTCGCCATTCACTTCTGCCCTTTGCTCACCTGTCGCCCACGTGCATAATTCGATTTTGGCGCACAAAGTAAGCAAACTGCGGGGCAAAAAGTGCATCAGACACCAGGGCGTATGCTTGATAATGTTCTTAAAGAGACTCATCTAGCCGAAGACAATTTGTCGTGCTGCTAGTGCTACCGCTGCTGCTACTTAGCTGATGTTTTTATCTGCACCCCTGTCCGTTGTCGCTCTAATTTGCGATAAACTGACACAAGATTGCAGCTACTTTATTCAAATTATGTGATAAGCCGCAGCGTCGCACAGCCAACCAAGCAAACAAAATGGCAAAAATAGCATGAAGCTCGCCACAGAAATGTGACACAGCACCCAAGTATCCCAAATATCCGAGTGCCCACACCCAGTCCCTTTTTTTTTTGTGTTCGTTATTTACTTTTTGTTGTGTGTGCTGCACGCAAATCAGTGAGGCAAGCGTTTTGCCAGGGGCGTGGCGCTCCCACCGAAGTTTCCCCCGTTTTCCCCCAGTTTTCTTGTCCGCGGTTAGATGCGCGATACGCAAGAAAGATACGCAGCCCAACTCATAACACTAGGCAACAAAGTTCGCCGTAACAATGGGTTCGCAGACAATGAGGAATTACTTTTACAAGCCAAGTTCAGACAAACAAAATATCGGATACGCAAAAGATGGCCTTGAATTTCCATTGAAAAAATGTAACTATATATACTTAAATATTGTCTGCCGTCTTGTAGGAAAAGTCAAGGTCTTCGAACACTTTGCTCCAATCTATTGTGGACACTTTGCACCCTCGCTTTCGATATGCATTTCCATTTCACGTTTTCTTGAACAAAATAATTAATAGACAATAAATTTTTAATATATCAATTAACTCTAATAAATAAAAGCAAAAGTAAGCTCATTGCATTTGTTAGGTATGTATATATTTTTTAGGAAAGCCCTTATAAATTTATCCTCTTTTTATACATTCTTAAATGTAGAAGAATCAAGAGGTGAACTTTTTTGTTAGAAAATTGTACAAGTATCCTGTTAGCCAGTGTAATGAAAAAGAGCCATTCGGTACTCTGTAAATTTCATTCATGTCAGTTTTTTGTTTGCACAGCGCTGATTAGAGGAGCAACGCTGGCTGATAATTTGCCAAATACTACAAATACAGATATGGCAATGACTCCTAACGAGCATTTAATGGTAGCGACTTATCGCCACGCCAAGTGCTCCTAATCGAAGTTTGGCTTCACTATTGAACCGCTCCAAACAGCTACATTACGCATACGCCCTGTTTGCCGTGCCGTGCTAATGAACTTCCCGCAAACTTGATTAAAACCCCATTACCCATTTGTCCCAGCTTATTGGGGGCCACAAATCAAAATAATTTCCATTTCACACATTGAACAACGCAGAAATAATTTCAGCAACAAACTTTGATGTCAAAGTTTTGCACTATTCACAGTATTTAACATGTGTTCCACGCCATGGGATGGAGGTCTGAATGGGAGCCGAGTGTCTATAGTTACAGTTCCGGACGGGACAATAGCTTTAGTCCGTGAAATATTTATTATATATATTTTATATTATATTATATGTGATGTATTTATCAAAATACAGCTTATATTTTTAATATCGAATAAATATTAAGTGAAATATTAAAAATTTCATATACTTTGTCACTCCTTTTCGAGCCTATACCGTACGTTCTTGTATCTATCCCATATGTTACCTATGTACATATATAATTTGGCATTGTTTGCGGTGGTGCAAAGGAGAAAAGTTTGCTTGCATCGTGCAGACGACTCCATTAGAATGAAAAATGCGCTCAGACGACCGAAACTTCCACATTGCTTGGATATTAAGATGAATTTATTGCGGGGAAAATTCTGAAACTCGCAGAGAAACTTCAAGGACGCAACCACCGGTTCCAGACTTGGCCAAGAAAGACCTGTATAAGCGACGCAATTGCTAGCACTATTTGTTGGCCAAGTTGGGTGCCTTGATTAAAAGCAAACTCGTTGAATTAGTTATTTAATTCGGCCTCGCAATTAATAATACTCCTTACAACTAGACGTAAAACGCCAGTCTTCTTAATTTGTTTCACAAAAGCGATTGAGTACATACAACAAAATTTGCGACGCAAACATGGAAGGTTTGTTTAGCCTTATCTGGATGTTTCCGCTAAAGATTTCCTCACAACTTCCGCTGACTTTCTGTGCGCTTATTTCTTTGTAGGATGCACTAAGCCCGAGGAGGAGCCCACCCATCGCCCGTCTCTTTCCGGCACGCTCCCCTGTCGCCGTCTTTTTCTATCGAAGAACCAGCGCGGAAGAAGCAGCACAGAGGTATGTAAACACGTATAAATAGTCAAATAATTCGCTTCTTCGGGCTCATCAAAATGTAAACAGTCCCTAGCCTCGGGTAACATCATTCTAGTATCTTGTATCTGTGCACAGGGAAAAAACTTAGATTGATGTTGGAGCGGAAGTTGGAATTACCTCTAAGCAGTACCTGCACATCAAATACTTTCTGAGATGGATTTTCCAACTACTGATGTTTGAGGTTATCAAGTTATTCTTTGTTATGCAAAGGTAAACTCTTTAAAAACGTTTTCGTGGCAGTTGTTTTTCCAGCGTATCCATCTGTATCTAAATATGTATCTGTATCTGTCTGGGACATGGCTGTTAACCCTTGTTTGGCCCTGTTTGCCGCCGGCCCCAAAGGTTATGCCAAATACAAATTATTTGAGCGCGTGTTCAACAGAATGCTGAATAAATAAGAGTGCGGCCTGTTTGCGCTGCCATAAAATGCAAAAGACGCCCGTCGAGAGCCGTGTAAATAATTTAATTTCATTTTGTTGCCACTGCCATCAACTATCAGCATAATGATGAATGCGTGTTTTGTGGAGCTACTTTTACGGCGCATAAAACACTAATAGAAAGCCATTACAAAAAGGCGATAAAAGCTGCACAAATTATGGTCGTAAAACAATTTATCAAAATATGTGACATTAACTACCCCGTGCACACAGTCATCACAGCACATCACATCACTTCACATCACGTCACGTCAATCATCGCAGGACATTCTCATTAGGCGTGGCCCGCCAATACTCCATTTTAGTGCAATAATTATCCGACCCTTGGCATATTGGAAAACGGAAGTAGAAATAGAAATAGAACTAGAAATGGGATAGGCTTGGGACTGGGAATTGAAATAGAAATAGAAATAGCAGCGGAAATGACACGACGGCCATTGTTGGAGCCCGAGAGATCCGGATGTTAATGAGATGCAAATAAGGCTCATGTGCGAAAGCGATTTGACCGACTTGGCATTTGCCTTTCAGCTTTTACCATTTACCATTTACCATTTGCCATCCGCCATTTACCATCCACCATTTACCATTTACCATTTGCATATGTCCCAGATGCGGATATGCGACAATGCGAATAAGGACTCGGACAGGACCTTTGGCATACGAGTGTTTGGGTATTTGCGCATTACGGCCACAAAAACAGCGGCATTGGCGAACGCAAAGTGACGGCAATATGTGATAATGGCGTCTGACAGCCCCGTCAAGAATGTGCAAGAGTGTGAGTGTGCCAGTGCGTGTGTGTGGGTGCCTGCTGCTCTGGAAGGAGAGCCAAGGACGCTTCTAAGCAAAGTCCGTTTCGGGATGTGCCATTCAGGGGTAACGTGCTGTAAAGAATCGTCCTGCAAGAGTGAGAGTGTGCGCAAAGATGGACACAAAATGTGGTGCCTTCTTATAACCATAGTATTAATTTCCCCCATCATACATTTATATTCATTTTATTCCAATTATCACTTAAACTATGAGGATACTTACCTGCAAAGTAAAGACAAACATAGAATAATTCAAAAAAGGGTTCTTGATAATAAGTTCCACTACAGAACCTTGGTCACATGTGGCATCCATCTGGCGTGAAGCTCGACTTACAGTCTTTTAACTGAAATATTTTTTGGTAAGCCTGAAATACGTCATTATTTTGGTACTTCTTTCTTTGATTGCTCGACAGATATCGGTTCGCATTTGGCCTGTCGAAACTGCCAGTCAAAGTCGCCTCCGCCTTTGCATTTCCTGTTTGGCTGGATGGCCTTTGTCTTTGTATTTGTTGCTGGCAACGCGTGGCACCCCAATTAAGCGACAAATGCCTTCAATATTTTGTCATGTCTTTGATTTATTCGACTGTCGAGTGAGTGAAATTCGTTACATGTGTCAGGCACTCCATATCCAAGCTGGCCAACTGTCGCCAGTGGCAGCCCGAGCACAATCCCAGCCTACTTCTGGAGTTCTGGGAGTATCTGATGAAGGTGACTTCGGTGATGGGTGCAGGCATTGCATTGTGCAATCGGCGGGAACCCTTAATTGACACACATGAATGATGACTGGGTACACTGGACGTGTATTTTTTCAGCTTGCCAAATTGCTGAGGTGAAGCACAATCAATTTTTCATCTATTTCATCTACAAATACTCACACTTACTCACTCGGCGCTGAATGTCAATAAACCGCACAGATACCACACTCACACTGGCGGCCGCAGGAGTATCTGTGAGTTAAACAATAACAGGACAGAGACAAATCCGTTACTCGCAACGCCGTCGACGTCAACATTTCAATGGCCATTTTCGCAGCGGTCGAAAGGGGCTCTGACGTCAGAGGCCAATCGGGTGGTGAGTGCTACGGGCAGTGCGCTGCACTGAGAAAACAAACACCTATGGTACACCACAAGTGATTTATGTTTCCATGGATTAGCTTCCCATATGGAGTAAATCATCCCGCAATCTTGTCATTCACTTCAGGTTCGCTCAAGGTATCCAAGTCCAAAGATTCTTTATTCAGTACCGTTTGATTTACATATATTCAAATAAATATTCTAATGGCTAATAACAATGCTGAACTTATTTAAGACTACATATTCAGCACTTGCAAGTAGCCACTGCCAAATTAATATTAATTTAAATAAATATAGTTTCGTTTATTTTTGTATAAGCCAGATTTCTCTCACTGTGCTCACTTGGTTACGAGATACCCCACAGATTTATATTCCCTATACATGTGCGTTTGTAATCTGGGGCAGCCAAAAACGTTTGCTATTTTAGGTTGTGTGTTGTAAGTGCGGCCATCGCTGCAGGCCAAAGCGAATCCGACTCCGACTCCGGATCCGGATCCGAATCAGAATCGATTTGGCCACTGGCGCAGGAAGTGCTTCTATTTCTCATCTGTCTCGCTGACCGGAGGGGCGTGGCCCGGCTTAAATATCCCCCAAATAGCGCAAAAAAAAAGGAAGAACGAAAGGAAATCCAGCGAAATGCCGCTTAAAGGAGGTCCGAGCTCAGGCAGCTTCTTGCAGCTCTTTCCCCTTCGAGGGAAAAAATGCTCCACTTTAGTTCATCAAATATTTAACCGCAGGGGAAATGAGGAGCCGTGGCATCCGTGTAAACAACCACGAGTTCGGGAAGCGGCTAAAACCGCAGCCAAAACAAACTCAAACAAGGCGAGCAAATCTGGAAATCTTTCTAATTGTGGCAATTCAATCAAATCGCCTTCCCCGCCCCCTTCCTTCGCGAACATCTTGTTTCGCTTTCCGCTGGGATTTCCGTGTTTCGTCGGCTAGATTTTTGAGTATTAGTGCAGATCACATTTAAAATTAATCAAAATCCCACAAAACCCAGCACATTAGTACGAGTAATTGAAATTATAGGCCGATTATACGTATAGAGTATAATTTGACTTAATTATTACTGTTGTGGATAAGAAAATTTTTATATTCCAGTAAGAATCCCTGTTTTTGTACAAAATGTGTACTCGAGGTGCATGTCCAATGGAAGCCATAGCGAAACTGTCATCTCCGTTGACCAGCTGGCCAACGGTTGCCAAGTTGGATGGAACCGGTGAGTTGGCCAGGTGCTGCAGATGTGTAAGGTCGGTCGTGATCCATAAGATCACGGCGTATTTTTATATGTGCCGAAAGACGCGGCGTCCCTCTATTCAGGCATCGATTTGTTTGTTTGGCTGTCTATTTTTATAGATCGCCGGCATGCACGGCGAAGCTCCTCCAGCACGCTTCTGTTTATCGAAGACAAAACAGTTTTTATTGTTCAAGAAATTATATTCGGCAGCACATGAACATGAACACTCCTCCCCTCCCAATACAACATGCCCCCGGCGAAATGGGGCATGGGGCATGGGGCTTGGGGCAGGCGAGGTGTGGCGTCATCAATTTCCATTTTCCATTGAAGGCTGTCCGGCCGTCGATCAAAGTGAAAAGTCAGAGGCGAGCTCGCCGGAGGGAAATCTCTCCAGAAGCCCGGGCGGAAATGTATTTTAGCACTGGGGAGAAAACTGCTAAATGAACGAGGAACTCAATTAATTATGGGCTGCTTCCTAGTTAACATAAAGTTAATGTAAACAGATAAGATAATCGCCGAGAAGAAATACAAGAAATATTTATTTATCCACATTATTACATGGAAACTTCGCTTTTCCGTGGTGGCCACTTTTCAAGTACTTTGTGCAGTGTTCAAGAGCTGTATTATTTTTTTGTAATTAAATTTGCATGGTTTTTCCAACTTGAAATGCTTTTTTCCCTTCTAATCCTCCGTGTTTTCACACTGCAGAGGATGACAAGGCGGAAAGCAGGGGAACCAGGTGGCATGTGGGTTAAAGTAGGAGCGTCGGAGGGAGTTCGGTTATGGTGCCTACTTTTATGGTTATGGCATGGCTTCGCTGCAAATTTTCGCCGGCTTCCTTTTCGCCCGCGGCTTCCACATCCTGCGATGCTCCTAGTGGAAGACTTTGGTGCCGGAGTTATTTTTGGCATGAAACATGTTCGAGCATTAATTACGCATTCAGGGCACGTACTTGTCGGTCTTTTGGCGTAAATAAAATTAAAAGTTGCCCGACCACCACGCTCCCTTTACAAGGCGGCACTCACGCTGGCAATAAAACAAAGTAGCATCAACTGTTTAGCTGGCCAATTAACAGCAATTAAATCGCGCAGAAGTACAAAGAACCAAATGTCTGCATCAGTCGGTTGGCCAGTTTAAACTGAGATGGTGAAAACGGAAAACCATTTTTCATGACCACGCTGCTGGAAAACTGAACGCAAACAAAGGCCAATGGGGCGAGGCAGTACCCCTTAAATCAACGTCAGTCGAGGGTTGTATCAGCTGACATTTGTCTTAAAATGCGATACTTTTAATCAGGTTCCTTAGAAGCAGACCTTAAGTACTATGCCAATATGCATTTGGATTCCACTAATATGCTCCTCAGCAGCGATTCAACTCCCCGAGTCTGTTACCAATTTTTGTAGCCATTATT